TACTTGCGGGACTCAAGCCGGTCACCCCTCGCTACCCCGATACCGAAGTCCGTAGGGAACTTCATGGCCAAGTAGTAGGTGGACACCACAACTCGTAAGGCATGGGTAATCGGCCGACCTACTATGGCGTTGTATGGAGAGGAGGTCGCGACCACCAAGAAGTCGTGGTTGAGCCTTACAACGCTAGGCCAGGTGCCGACTTACACAGGTACTGTCACTCTTCCAAGGGGCCGAACTTCCTCTCCGCTGAAGCCAACCAGGGGAGTGTTTGTGGGCTTTAGGTCGCTCTCCTGAAGCTAGAGTTTGTTGAAAGTCGCTTTGAAGAGAATATCCGCCGAACTGTCTGAATCAACAAGGACTCACTTGACTTCAAGTCGTTGACTCTCATCTTTATGACGAGCGCATCGTCATGAGGGTAGTGGACCCCGCGCGCATCGTCCTCTAAGAAGAAGATGGGGTCTTCTGTCCTTGGCTGCTTTGGAGGATTCTGCTCTTCCCTACTGGACTCACGAGCTGACGCGTGAGCTGCTGCTAAAGTGCAACCCACGACAATCGATCCTCCGACTATGACATGGATGATCCTCCGAACTGGTCTCTCTTCGAGGGGGCTGCTTCTACGGTTGCTCCGCCTATTGACTAGATTCGGGGGCGTCTCTACCTTGCTCCCCCTGTCGACCTGCTTTATTATTATTATTACTATTATTATTTTGTACAAATTTTTGTAAATATCCGCGATGGATGAGCTCTTCTATCTCATCGCGGAGGTTTTTACAACTCTCGGTACTATGACCGTGATCTTTATGGAAACTACAATACAAATTTTTATTCCGGGTGCTAGGGTCGGCCTTCAGCCGAGGTGGCCACTTTACATACGAGGCGTCCTTGATTGCCATGAGGATCTCAGCCCGTTTGGTATTGAGGGGCGTGTAGTCCCTTTTTGCTGCTGGGGCTCGGGAGGGCTGGACTGGCCTCGCCCCCCGAGTTATGTCCTTCTTCTTCCTGTTGTCGCCTTGAGACTGGGGTTCTGATTCTCTCTTTCTTTTTTCTGGGGCTTGTTCGCCCTTCTGGTTGATCTCCTCCTCAGTCCCAATAAACCTATCCGCGAGCTTAAGGAACTCGGTCACGGTTTTGGGTTGGTTGACAACTACGTGCCACTTGAACTCCTTATGAGCGATACCTCGCTTGGCTTCCGTGAGGCAAACTGCAGAGTTCAGGTCGGGTATCTGCAAACAAGCGTCATTGAACCGCTTGATGTAGCACCGGATGGACTCACCTTCTTTCTGCACTATGCTGAGGAGGCTCTCTTGGGTTCGCGGGCACCTCTTGTTGGTGACGAAGTGAGAGACGAAGACCTGCACGAACTGCGCCCAACTTCTTATTGACCTTGGTGCGAGGTTCCGGTACCAGGTGCGGGCCACTCCTTTGAAAGTAGTGGAAAAGGCCATGCACATGCAGGACTTGCTAGCCCATGCCAGGTGCATCTGGGACTAGAAAGCGTCCACATGGTCATTTGGATCGAAAGACCCATCATACTTGTCCCGAGGGGGGAGCTTGAAATCCTTTGGCATGGGGACAACAAGGAGTTCTGGAGATAATGGGGAAGGAACCGAGAGGAGGGGGGTAGTTTTCACTTCAGTTGAGCACACCTCCTCCTTTACTTTGAGCTCAGGAGAGGCTCTGGAAGCAGTTCGGCGAGCTCGTCAGCGCCTCCGTTGTTGCTTTGCTGGTTTGGCATTAGTGCTCGATGCCTCGGTGTTGCCGAGCTCAATGGGCTCGGACTGTTGGTGATGGCTCTGGACCGAAGGGCCCTGTCTGTAGCCTGCTGCTAGGACCTCGAACGGGTTGTCTGCTAATGGGAGCTCGAACTGCGAAGGTTGTGGTGACATGGGCTTTGTTGGGTGAGAGGCCCCTGACCCGCCCACCGACTGCAAGGCGGGTGCCGAGACGGTAGCCGGCTTCTCTTTCTTGCCACGAGAAGAGGCGTGGCTTTTGGCTGGATCTTGGACTTGGGAGGCTTCTTCCCGATGAGGCCGCTCACTCCGACGGGTTGGTTTGGCCTACTTCGTGGGTGGGTGCCGAGGTGGAAGCGACACCTGGGCCTGAGGTAGAGAGGAAAACTGTTGCTGGTACTGGTACTGGGAGACCTGGTGCTGCACTTGCTGTTGGTAGAGTTGAAACTGTTGGAACTGTTGCATTTGAGCCTACATGGCCCGCATGCATTGCACCAAGTCCTCCAATTGGTTCGGGTTGGCCGCTGGGGGCACAACCGATGGTTCAGTAGGGGTTGCTCCTACGATAGAA